AGCATGAGAAAAACTAGTCATTACCTTCATTCCGTTATTTACCTGCTTTACAAGCATAAATCAGTCATTATGCTTTATCACAAAATAGCTAATATGACACTTTCCCCTATTCAATTCCACAGGTATCCAGTGAGACAATCTTCTTGGCTGTCAAATAATGTACCTTAGAATTGCTTAGGGTCAGGATCCCCTTCTTTCACCAAATGGAGTCCTCTCATTCATCACTCTAGGTCAGGTCATCCAAGTAGTGCTGGTGGGCATCCTTGGCTGGCTTCCCTGCATGGCAGCTGCAGAGTTCTGGCCATGATTAATCGTGTTGCATTTACAGTGCTATATTAATTGTTTTTATTCACAGCTGAAAAAAACTTCAAAACTGTTAGGTATCTAACAGGATACAAATTGCCAATTTTGTTTCTTTGTATCAGAAATAAAAATTTATCAAGCAGTAACACTGCATAGATCACAGCTGATGTGATACTCTAATCAGAGATTCGTATTTGTAGTTTAATACTGGTGTTCTAAGAATGTTACAGCACCTATTTTTTCTTATGATTATGACTCAGGATCCTGAAGATTGTAAAGTATCTTTCACCAAATAACTAATATTGTTTTAGAGATTCCAAAATAAATTAATAACTAGGACATATCAAGATTTATGTTTAAGCTAAGCTTTCATATTTTCTCTAAAATAGTTTTTTATATTTTAAACTCTTTGAACAGGAGCCTACAGGATTTATTTCCTTTCTGTCCCAAACACTGAGTCCGGTAGGTGCTCCTTAAAGCTTAACTCTCCCTGTCTCTAGCTGTCCTGTGGACAGAGTGCTTAGTACCATTCTATTGTATCAAATCCTACTTTGCTCATTTTTCCAAAATCCACCCCAAAGCTTTAGTCTGTGATTTCACATCAGAGAGTAGTAAGCCTAATAGCTGTTGCCTACCATAAAAAAGACAACACTTTCTTCATTTCCCACCCTCAGCCACAGAGTCCTCCCATCTTCCTCACTGCTGTTCATCTGATACATGGTGGGTGAGTTGATAGTCAGAAATTATTCACTAATATCTTAATTAGTTCACTGAGGAAAGAAGGGTGCCTTCACTTAAAGAGAGCGTATATGGTAGGAAGGAGCTGCAAAGGGGAGGACAGAAATCTGTTCTGACAGGAGAAATCTTGAAACTCATCTTTAGCATCTATTTAATCCAGCAAGCATTGCATGGGAATCCCAGAGCATTCTGAATCACATTCTTATTGATTTTTACAGTGCCTTCATTGTTATTACTCATGATACTCATTGCTGAACGGCACACATAAGTGTGAAAAACAATATACAATATTATACTGCTTATTCTGCTTTAAGTTCATCATGATCTTGGCAAATTATCACTAAATATGGTTCTTCTCTCATTTCCACCTGTAAAATCATAACTATCTCTGCTGAAGACAACCAAATTATGGTGCTGTGGAAGTGGACTGAAGAAAGTTTGAAGGTGATGGTTCTTGGTTGGATATTACCCCCTTGTATCTGGCTGAGGATTGAGTGACACAATGATTAAGAGCTGCTGAGATTCTTTTTTTGTGTGTGTTTTGAAGCTTCCAGACAAAACAAGCCACTTGTAGCCCAGGAAAACTATTCTCTATTAAAAATCTCTATTAAAAAAAAACAAAATAACAAAAAACAAAACAAAACAAGAATACAACAGCAAAAAAAAAACAAAAACAAACACACAGAAAAAAGAAAAATTGGTGTGTATGTTGGCCTTCATATCCTCTGTGAAAGTTTATCTGTTCCTCAGAAACAAACTTCATCCTGAAGCTAAAGTCTCCACTAGATTTAGTGCATTGGTTCATTATATTAGTGCTTTTGGCTGTGTGCCTTGCCTTTCTGCTCATGTTGCTTATACTAGAACAGATGCATACCCATCTCTCCTCAGCCTTTCTTCATAGGATTGTTTTTTACCATAAATTCACTGCCTTTCACTACTTGAATTAATATGTTGAGCTGTGAACTTCAGTGAATCAGATAACAAAGCATGTTTCCTTCTACTCCTGCTATGGGCCAATAAATCCTGGTAGAGCACATAAGAAATGAGTATGATGTTTTGTCATATAGCCATTAAATCCATTGGCAAAAATCTGTCAGAGTTCTAAGAAACTCTCAGCATACAGCCATACTCTCAGTGTAGTTTGGAAGAAACTGGGAATTCTGAGGCCAAATCTTCATTTTATAAAAGAAGGTATTTCAGATATTTTCTGCCATCTCATTCTTCTCAAATTTCACTAAAAAAAAAAAATCATATAAAAAGACAGTGTATTTGAAGAAATCAGCCTATTATCCATTTATCTACATAAGGTCATGAACTTTAACATTTAGGTCAGCGAAAGGCACAAAAAATTTGCTCAAAAGGCATGCTGACTGGCACACTGCAAAGGATTTATTTTTTATTCAGTTCCATCTAATTGTATGTGATTTTATCTATTTCAATGCATCATATAAAAACAAGCAGAAGGAAAGTTTTATAGTATGGCACTCGTCATCTAATGCAGTATCTTTTGTCATGCACATTTCACATTCTTTTTGCTGTATGACTAATACATGTGAAGAATTGGAATGTTTTAACACGTCCCTTTAGAAACTGGGATAAAAATAAAAGCTATGCAGTCAAATAAAAGCAAGAAATAGAACACACCGAATTTTCCAGTACATTTGCTTTGCTCTGAACTATCAGTGCCATTTGGTTTAAAGGCAAAATAATACAGAAGAAGAAATAATATAAGAATGATCTAAGAGTAGGAGTGATCTACTGGAATTGAAGTTCTTAATATTTTTGGTGTCTCTACTGCTGACAGGGGAAATAGAATAGAGATGAAAGACAGGGTGTATGGCTGAAACAACAGCACTTTGATCTTAGTCTATTCTTTTAGATAGCTCTGCATCCTTCAAAGCCTGGCATACGTTAAATCAGCTCTTATGTTTCTCAATCTGAGTGTAGGGAGAACTGCTGCCACAGAGGAGAACAAGGTTAAAAAGGTGCAGTGGTGAATTTCAAAACTTACCTACAGAGCAGCCTTTAATCCAAGCATGGTCATAACCAAATATCTGGCCCCATACATTGTTATTGTTCTGAATGAGCAATATCTTCAGTGGTTACGGAGCTGCAAGTGCATGTTGAACTCTTCCCAGCCCCCTTAATTAATTGATTAATTTCAAGATTAATCAAAGAATTATCATAAAAAGTTTCTAGCGACTAAATTAATCTTTTTTTCTTTTTTTTTTTTTTCCTGGATAAGAGTTTGTGGGATTTATAAAGAAAGAAGAACTTTTTTTCAAATGAGTTTCTTATGGCAGTTATAGACAACAGACACTGGAATGGGGTTCATCCCACCCAAAACCCAGAAACTTCATTAAAATCTTTGTCATTCTCTGTTCATAGCATCTTGCAGTGAGTGGCAGCAAATCCCAGTGGCGGAAACATGTAAGAGGGGGGTAGCAGTTAATAATGAAGACACTGCAAGATAAATTTCCATGCATATATTTTTTTTAATTTCTAATGCTTGAAGACATCACAGGCTGCTACAGAATTTTCTCCTGAGCTAAAAAAATGTGAGAGTTGCCTTGATCCTTGAGTTTAACTGTCTAAATTTTTAAGTGGATGTGCCAGCTACTCCACTTTACCTAGGTCACGTGAGGTATGTGGGTGACTAAAAGCAAAACAGTTCTGTAAGCCTGTAGCCAAGTTTATTTCAGCTTAGAGAAGCTGAGCTACATTCTCCAGCTGAACTCACTCCTGAACTGTTGTACTGAAGCTAAGTTTTAGCGTGGTGAAGCACATTTCCCGTCTGCTTTTTCATATTTGACTATATTCAAAGTGTTGCAAAAGTGGGGCACAGACACAGTTATTCCACCACTCTGCCTGCTGGCGGATCCATCCTTGTGAAACTCCCAGACTGACCCACATCCCTCCCTGCCTCCTGTACTCAGAAGGAAGGCAGAAAGCCTGTACCTGCAAAAAATAGGTAAAGAACTAGTGCAGATTTCCCTCTTTGGGGTGTTCTTCATACTTTCCTATGTATTTCCATTCTTATTTTCTTTCTTGTCAAAGAGATGGCCTGCATAAAATGTGAAGACATAATACTTCCTGTTAGGAAGGGCTGAAATGCAATTCAAAAGTCTGTTCTGGTTTTGCTTTTTTGTGTGTATTTTAGGAGAGCTAAGTTACAATCATGAAAGGAAACTAATACACAAATGCCTGTCTTGCCAGCTCACATACAATTGTTTGATTCCGCTGATAGTTCAATGTCAAATTGCTCTCAATACTGCTGAAAAATCCCAGCTGTACAACTTCAGGTATTCTGTATACTGATATTATTTTAGATTGTCTTAGCTACAGAAGATTGATTTCAAAATAAGATACTCTTTAACATATCGTCCCCTCTCCCTGTTTGCTTACATATTAGTTGGGTCAGCAATTTTGAAATAGCTACAGCCTTGTTCATTAACATGTTTGTTGTCATTTTGGCCACATTAAACTTGGCATCAAATTACTCATCAGCATACGGAAAAGCTTGCTGTGGTGGTAGGAGAATAATCGAATTGTCAACAAAGATCAGTAAATGAATGTTAACATTTCCTGTTTGAATTCTCTAGTTCTTCAAATCCTGTTCATAAAACGAAGAAAAATATGCAAGATAAAATGTGCTAGACGTCTGATTAGAATTTAAGCATATGAAAAGTGCTCTTCATTTAACAGGCTTAGAAAATTAGTTGAAAAAAGTATCCTTAAGTGTCTACACGTGTTCCTGTACCTAGTAACTAATGTGTTACCAGAGAGTCAGTCATTTTCTAGAAAACTCTTCTCTCTCACTGGCATGATTTTTGTATGCTTTTTCTTGCCTCTCTTTGCCTTTCCTTGGTTTTGCCTTTCTTGATTTTCTTTCTTATTTTAATCTTTTTTGAATACTTAGAGTTATTAGTAATATAACTTTCCAGTGTTTGTGGTTGATGACATTTTCTTTTTCCATTGCCATGTATATTTGCAGTAGTAGTGAAAATAGAGGCAGTCATTATTTTTGTGAAAATATTGAGGTTAGCAGATGTTATTTATAAAAAAAAACCTGATATTTCTCATGTACCAAAAATTTTATTGGCTGGCAAATGTGTTTCCCTTAATATGCCCACTTATCCTCCAGTCTTTAAGTGCTGTATGCACTGGTCTTAAAATAATACACCTAAGTCAAGACCAAAGATTGGCTGTGCAGCCAAGTCGAAGACATAGCTGTAATACAAAGTAACTGATTCTTCACAAGACAAACGGCTCAGACACCAATACTGACAGATATTAGTATCCATCCCTCTTTTCCATGACTTCCTTTGACCTCTGTTGAAAAATAGCCTCATTTCAAAGTGTGCATTCCCTTACCATGATGTTGTACCTGGAACTGGAAGGGACAATAAGTATGAGCAAGACAGTTATTCATGATGCTCTTGAAAATAAGCGTTTCTTTCAAGTTACATAGATGTAATTACACAGATGTCTATCTACCCTTTAGGCAAAGGGTTACTGGTGGGATCTTTTGTTTTTTTTGCAACAGCTGTTGTTGTTAACTACTTACATGAGAGACAAAGATAATACAAGTACTTCACTTTTTGAGTACCCAAGAATAGTCTGTGAATTGCTGTAGGATGCCTGCAGGAGCTCAACCTCTGTTTCAGAACTGCTACCTGGGAAGGATAGTCTGGCTGGTTCTTGCTACTGAAGAGGCAGAAGGGAGTTAAGAAGTAACATTAGTATTTGCAACTAATCTTAATATGTAAGGACTGCTGAACTCATAATGCTGTATGGACAAAGTCTCTGTAGATATCTTCCCAGCATATCACATACTTGATACTTTTGCCTTCTGGAAAAGTGTAATAGGAAAGGTAGGGTGGATGGGCAGGCCGACAGGAGGTCTTTCTCAGTTAACAAGATGGTTAATGCTCAACTTGATCAATAAGATGATCAATTTTATTCAGGTAGGTATCTGCTTTGCCAGACAGTATTCAGTGTGTAATATTTATTACAAAATGTGGGGGAGAGGAGGAGAGAGTGATTTGAGAGAGTACTTGGTGATCAACAAATTTCTACGTGCTAGAGACTCATGAAAAACTTTGAATTACATAAAAGTGGAGTACTAGATATGGTAGACCCCATATAGACCAAACCTAGTCTCTAGATTTTGACATGTTCAGCTCTTTTGGATGTGTACTAACAATACCAAGCCAATGAGCAAGGTAATATTTTGTGTAAATTTAGCAGGAATTGAGCTCAGTTTTTAATCTGAAAAGGATGTGATGAGTATTGCGAAAGGTGCTTGTTTGTTTTTTTTTACACTCTCCAGTGCTCACAAGAAATACACCATCTTAGATCCATATGATGCGATCACAGATCCATGGATCATTATGAAATGTTTTCTTTCAGATTAATGGCCTTTTTTTTTTTTCGGTTGACGAAGCAACTGTTTTCAGTATGATAAATGTGTGTGTAAACTAAGCACAAGAAGATAAATAGATAATTTTCTTGTTTTCTAATTTGGGAATGAATGATAATTTTACATTTGCAGAAATTAGGCAGATGATATGTAACGATGAAACCAGTTGTTGTTCCCCGTTTGAGCAACTTAATAAATGTGAAAGTATTGTTTGTTCTTACCATACACACCTTTGAGTCAACAGCTGAACTACGCTATATCTTATTAAATACATTTAGTCAAAATAAATCTGAATCTTTGTCTGAATATTGTTCAAATTCTGACACATGAAAGAAGAAGAGTCTGTGATTTTCAAAGGGGTTGAGACAGTTCACTCTGACCAACCACAAGGTTCAGCCTGATATTTCAAGAAGTTTCAAATTTCCTATAGTCAAGTAAAAGGAAAAAAAGAGGATTTTTGTTCAAACAACACTTATTTCAGTAGACATAAGTGAATGGACATGATGAATGTTACATCATGTATACATTTATAAATACACACTTTACACAGTGTACAGATGCCTGCTATTTTCCCTTATTCTGAAAAATGAATAGTTTTCAATCTATATATAGAAAGACTTCCAATGAGTAATGTGGGTAATGGCAACACACCAGCTTAAAACCAGCAAGTTTTGAAATATGTTTGTTTTACTTACTGTCAAATGAAATGTGGTAATGTTATGAACTGTAAGTGCTGTCTCCTAAGATGCCTGGGGTGAAATCTTGAACCTACTGAGACCAACAGGAATTTTGTCCTTAAATTTAGTGGCTTAAGCTTATGTGTTTATATGTCAGAACAGTGATTGGAAGCATAAAATCTCAGTCCCACCTGGGAGCCATCTCCTATAGTATAAACTTAAGAAATGAGTCAACTAAATACAGAAAAAAATCTTTACTGCGAGACATGTAAGCTGCAAAACCCAGCAATCTAAACACTAATGATTTTGCTTAGATTTTTGCAGTTCCTGTGTCATGTTCAAGTATGTCAAGTGTTCAAGTAATTTATTACTAAATAGATCCAGTGAGAATATTAGCCTCTTATGGTTATCATTCTGGTAGATGTTGATTGTCTGCACTGATACTATGCTAATATTTTCTTTCCACCATTCAAAATGTATTATAATAATATGAACCAAAGACCCAACTTTTCACAATACTCCTAAGAATCAATAGGCAGGTCCCTGAAGGTATAGCCTTGATTTGCATATGGATTGAAGGTTATGACTAGTAGTTATGATGCGCAGATTGACTCCACAACTTGTTAAAGTTGTAAAGTAGGTATGCTTTTTATTCAGCGCTGAGACGCACGGGGATAATTCCTTAAAGTCATGCGTGCCTCAGCGCTGTTTCCCTCTACATTTATTCTCTAAAGTTATATATATTCATAAGGTTGCATAATACGCCTATACATATTCATGTCCTATCCCCGCTTCATATTATAATGAGTTAGAAGGTCCTTTGCGCCTGCGCAGTGCCCCCTCTGGTCATGGGCAGGGGTCTCAAGATGAAGTAACTGAGTCTTCCTCCTGTGGGTAGGGGTCCTCAGGATGAAGTAAATGAGTCTTCCTCTTCTTGAACTTTTCACCTTTTAGTCTTCATATATGGCCTTAGGGTTTGGTCGGTGTCCCAGCCATAAACCATCTGCATCTACCCCTTCAGGTGTCTGCTTTTCCTTATCAATAGCTGCTTATCAGTAGAATCAGGCCTCTGCTTTTCCTTGTCAATAGAACCAGGTGTCTGCTTTTCCTTATCAATGGTTAGTGCCTTTGTTCTGCTTAGTAGGCAGGATAGGTACAGACAATACTTTTGTTTAAGCAAGGGAATTCCTCTAACCCCCTTGTACAATCCCCCTGTACAACCCCCCTGTACATTGGTTAACCCTGTAGCAGTTACATTATGTGAACACTTCAAGTAGCACCATCTCCTGAACTCTGTGGAAATAAATATTTTGTTGGCACTGTATTAATTTAAAAATTGAACACCTAGGTTATATTTTGCTGTGTTTTAAGATTAGTCCTTGTGTTCCATGAATGGAAAACAGTGTTTAAAAACTGAAAAGAAAAAAAAAGACAGCTCCATGTGAAACACATTTTTCTGAAGCGATAGTCATACCATAAGTAATGGATTTATGTCCAACACCTTGCACTATCAAGCAATTCTTGACAGAGATAAATCAGCCTGAGAAAAGTGAAAAAAAACATGAATCAAAAGAAGGAGTGGGGGAAGAGAAGGTATTAAAACCAGACAAGTACAAAAATAACTAAGTTAACTGAATAAACATTATGAAAACAAAAGATAGTCAAGGGAATAGTAAGGAAGTAGCATAAATACTTCAAAGGAAGTCTTATTTTCATGAAAAACAATACTATGATTAGTCTCAGTTTTCTAGCCTAAAGGTATTTTTCTAAAATTCTTTTGCACATTATTCATATTCTTAGTATAGAGTCATGTTGGCTCCGTGATTATTGGTAGTAGTGTAGCAACAGAAAGAGCTGTTTTGCTTTCTGCTTTGCATTCATTATTCAAGTGGGCTCGAATGGTAAAGTGGCAATGGAATTTGGCACTCAAGTGTCTACCTTTGGTCTCACAGCTAGAATTTGATTCCCAGCATTCACAGTATCTTTTGAAAATGATGAGTCAGACAGATGCTGGCAGACTTCCAGATCTTGGTTACATGTGTGAAAGGACACAGCTTTTCTTTTAAAGAAGGGAAAGAAAGAACGAAAAAAAATCCCAGATGAGCAGTCATAGTTTTGTGCCCAGAGAGAAGAAAGATGAACTAAATTTGCATTAGAAACTCCTGTACCTAATTAGGAAGCAGAAGAATGTACAGGAGGCACAAGAAGGTATCTCTTGCATTTCCAATTCTCAACAGCAGGAGAGGAAACAAAGTTTAAAATGATAACTTTTGTTTTAAAGAAAAGCTTTGTACTGCTGAAAACAATCCTTAAAAATAGTGAACAATAAATAGTAAATCTATATCTTAAAATAAATAAGCTAACTTTTCATCTCTCATCAACTACAAATTGACCTAAGTTTATTGACTTTAGAAACAATTTTCCTCATTTAAACCCACATGAGCTAGAGATATGATGTGAATCTTGTCACTGGGAGAAAGAAGTGAAGAGCTTCAGGCAATGGTGCAAATTGAAAGATACGTGTACCACCAGTAGAACCACTTTACCGCGTAAAGAAAGAATTGAGGTGTGGAACCTGGGTCCAATCTGGATTCTAAAACTCCCCCAAATTCAGGAATGGTCAGATATGATATTTTTCATTGAAACCAAACCCTCTAATTTCCAATGAACTAGAGAAAGGGGCAAAAGGTTCAGACTCATTTTATGCCACGCACAAGGGTGACCTCTTCTGGCCGAGGACAAAGCTTTTAAGCATTTTCCCCTGAGTTTTCAACCCCTTTTTTTAATCGTAAGTCAAATTGTTCTCTTCTGAAAAGAAGTACCTGAAACTCCATTTACTAACACTGTGACTTTATTAATCAAAAATTCGAAGTGTGTATGGTATTTAATATGTCTGTTGTATCAACCTGGCATATGCAAAGACTTCTTGGTATTTCTGGTACATTCTAAGTTGCTCCAGAAATAGAATATCTGACCCTATGATTGCCACTGTTAAGGGTGAAAAAGTTCAGAGTAAAAATATTAAAGTAAAAATTAGAGTTGAATTGTCAATTGTATTTACAGATGCAACTGCTATAGTTTCATATACAAATATAAATTCCCTACTGTATGGGGGTTTTGTAATCAGGCTCAGCAACACCACAGCTCATCCCTAAGTCTTGTATACAATTTACTCATATTTTAAGCTATCCCAAAATTGCAATATAACTTTATAAGCTGGGAAAATATTTCATGTAAAACATTAAAACAATAAGATTTATTATTTTTATAGTAATAAGTTACTCCGATTTTCTCAACAGAAGTGTTCTGATTGCCTCTGGAAAGCAGAAAAAATGATAAAGCTGTAAATGATCAGTTTCAAATAATTTTGAAAACTATCTTCTTTTGCTCTTCAGATGAAAATACAGATGTAAAGTTTTAGCTATGGTTGGTCATTACCATAAACAAAAGATAAAATCTATGAAAGGTTGTTTAAATATTTTCAGTGCAATGGCTGAGGCTTCTTAAATATTGTTGCTGTTACAACAGATGAAGTTCCATCTGTAGTTGGTAGTAACGTAAGTTAAATTCAATATCGTGTTAAAGTCACGTTAAATGTTGATGGAGTTTAAATCTGTCAGCACTAAAAGAGGTCCCTTTTCCAAGACAAGGTTAGAAATTTCATCCTTGGGGTGATGAAACCTGGGAATACCATTGCTGCAAGATCCTTTTATAACTGATATTTTATGACATCAGTTCTCAAACTCAGAATTCCCAAGACACAGAAGCAACACATGGCTAAATTAATTCTTCATTTTTAATTGCTTTTTGACATATTCTTTGCAAAATACACCTGTCCTTATGTCTGAAGAGCCAACCCAGAGCTTCCTGGATAAACATCCTGATTATTTTTAGAAAGTTATTTAATACCTCATTAGTTTAAGCTTAAAATTCAGCTTAATAGGATAATAAAGCCTTTGGAAATATCTATGCTGCAGTGTTAGCTGAAGGCCTGAAATTGTACTTGAGATAACTCCATCTTCACCTTGGCTGAAAGCTAATGTTGGACAACACCAAGCAATGAACATACCTGAATTTCCAACAGGTACAAACAGAACAGGTTGAGGTTAAAGCCCATCCAGGAAAAGGCTCAAGGTTAACAAACTTAGATTATTCAGAACTCCAGCCCGGCTTGGACACAGACAACAGTGTTGTCTAACTGTAATTTTATTGGTTTAATTCATCTAGGATTTCTCTTTATGGTTGAAAATGAGCTTTAAATATATAGGGAAGAATTGGTAACTGGGAACTGAAATAATTTTCTTTATTGAGGAAACATCTGGAAAACTTAGATACTTTCATATACAATGTTGGCAACATCAAAGCAGCAATCCAATAATATTCAGATATAATTGGGAAGTCATTGAAAATCTTTCCATTATAACTTCTAAACTTCCCCAGCTGCTAAGAAAAACACTGCCACACCATTCTGGCAGCCACACGCAAACCTATTTGAAGGCTGTGCCTCATACAGTTCAAGTGGCTGGGAATTTTAACTGCTACTGCAGGAAATGGGCAACTTCCAGGATACCTCTATTCAGGAGAAGAGCCTTTGTTCAGCACTGGGCTTTTTGATCAAAAATATAGAGCATGGTGGGATTGAAGAAAATCAGTTCAGTTGCCGAAATGAACTCTTCAAATCCGAAGCTTGTTGCCTGGTCTTCCTGTTTCTCTAGGGGGAAAAGAGGTAGGAAGCATCGTTATTGTAGACACCTTTCGGTTTAATTTTCTCACGTGAATTAATTCATCACATCTAACACTTAGAATTTACTAATGGGCAAGAGGAGTGTATACCTGTGGGTCTGAAAAGGAGATACTAGACTTGAAATACTGCTTTCTTTTTGATACTCAACTGCAAAAATTCCAGGAACAGTCTGAGAAATGCCTCTCCACACTGAAGGGCTAAATTTTTGGTATGTGCTACCAAAAGTATTTATTAGTGCTATGGTACAGTCTGTTGCCTGATTTTGATGTGTAGGTGTAGATTTATTTCTTATGAGTGCTTCTATTTAAAATGAAATTTCAGTTGTTATTCTCTCAGAAAAAGAAAATAATGCATAAATTATACAAAGGAAATATGATATGAAATCTGAGACATCACAGAACTCACTAACCTTCTGGTAATCTTACTGTACTGTAGATTTTATTATCTTGCATCTGAATTTCTGTTACATTTTGTAATGAAAGAAAAAATTCACATTTAATAAAATATTTTCATTTTAAAGTACACATAAATGCACAAATGAAATGGGACATCATGCAATAACATTTTTAAAGCCCAGTGTTTGTATTACAGCATGGGTAACTCTACAGTGACAATTTATCAGTTTAGAATTTTCACTGGGAATTTTACAAGAAAGTTGTTTTACAAGTATAAGGGTCAGGGAATTCATGTTTCACTTTTCACCAATACAGAGGATGTTGGGGGTTGGATAGAAAGATATCAGTAAATTGTTTCTTTTCAAAATCTTTTTTCTGCAATTTTTGTGTTAATTGCTCCCACCTTCTGCTACTTTAATGCAAAATGGCTTTGTTAATCACTCTACAAGAAGCAACCATTACACTTTTCTTTGAAACCATCAATATTGTCCTTCAGTCTATTTAGGTGAGATATTAAGCCTTCTCTTTTCAAGAAACTGCCTTTTGAGCAATGTAATCTAGATTTTCCCTCCCTCTCTTCCTCCCTTACTCCATCCCTCCCTTCCTATCTATCTTAAAGCCTGTTGCTGCTTATACCTTCTAGGGTAGATTTGCTAGAAACTAAAGACGGCTGCAATAATTGAAACTCTAAAAGTATCTAGGACAGTTTTTACCTCCTAGTCAGTGGAAGAAACAAGGCACTTGATCTACATATTTTCATTTTCCTTACCTCTACAATAAACCACAAATGTTATCTTAATTTTTCCTATCTTCTTTGGTTATTCCATTTTTAAGTTGGTAATGATCAGTACATGCATGCCTACAGCACAATTTAGTCTCATGCGTAAGTTTTGAAATGATCCTATGTTTATGGTGGAGCATACAGAAAATACCAAAATAGAGAATATCAAAACTGAAGCACTTCATAAGAAGAAGAAATGACAGTTCTCAGGATTTCAATTATTTACGAAGATATTTACACACATCAGCAAACGACTGAACATATGAAATCTTAATACTGTATATGGCTTTCATATATCAGATGAATGTGGTATACTGAACACTTCTGTTCAAAGCATCACTGATACCACTTGTCCATAATAAGCAAATCTGCTATCCTTTATTTCCCTTATTTCCCATACTTACAACTTTTTCACTGAGTAGCATAACCACAATGGTTCTATGCAATAAGTACAATGTCTGGCTGGAGACCAGTAACGAGTGGCATCCCTCAGGGATCGGTGTTGGGACCAGTCTTGTTCAACATCTTTGTCGCTGACATGGACAGTGGGATTGAGTGCACCCTCAGCAAGTTTGCCAGTGACACCAAGCTGTGTGGTTCGGTTGACACACTGGAGGGAA